TCACAAAGGCAAAATAGCAGCAATTGGGACAAATGAAAAAGCTGCTCACCATATTAAGATAAAAATCTAAGAAGAACTGGGCAAGAGAAGACAGTTTACTCGGTAAATCTCTGGCCACTATAATAATCATATTTCAGATTTAATATTGAACATATGTCAACTCCAGAGAGCCAAGTTCAGTCAATTTAAGATATTATGAAGAGACTAAGAGCTCTGATGGGCAAGCTGTTAAATCTTGCTGAGGTGCTTTAAGACTTCATGGTGCCCAGCTCTATGTTCTTTCCACCCTAGCCCATTCCTATTAGAATAGGAAGGAGTAGAGAAGTCAGCATGGCTTCAGGTGTTGTGTTCATGGTTTGCACGGGATTTCTGTGACTTCTTATTAGTATTCAATATAGAAATAGAGTATGTAATATAATATACTAGACAACTCACAAAAGTAATGATTTATGATTCGGGTTATCAGAAGGATGAGCATCACTAGCTAAAACCCTGAGTAGTAGTCAACCCTGGGCAGTATCAGTTTCTCTACCACAATGAAGTCTATTCAAAACCCAATAAAACTCTCATCTTGCTCTGCACTGCCATTTGGTTCCAGAAAAAAAGGTTTACTAGATCAATGTACTATCTGAGATAATTAAAAAAAATATTTCTGATCCTGGAGTAACCCAGAGCTGGGAAGAATTCCCTCCCTCAGTATGCCGTAGCACTGATCACTAAGGTTTGTTGAGCATATCTCTACTGGCCGTAGGCAGCGCAAGGCCCCATAAGGACTCCAAACTATTCCAGTATGATATTTTCTAGGCTTTCTACAAAAAAGATCCTCCTGTATCAAGTGGACACCCAAAGCCTTACTGGTAGTAGTGTCCTTCACGAAAAGGTTAATCATGTGGCTCAGGGGTGGTCTCCTCTTGGTGATCGATGAAAGCTTCCCCAGGATTGTTTCCTTAACCATCTCATCACTTGGCAAGCGGTACAAGGCCAAATAGTTCTCCTGCTTGAAAAGATCTTTAGCACCTGGTGTGAAACCTGAAATGTGAACATAAAGAGGGGAAATATTAGGCTCTACCCAAAGTAAATGAAAGGTCTTCTCTCCTGCTTCTGTGTGCTACCCACTTTGCCTGTGCTCATTCTGACATCTCCCCAACAATAGGTAGGTGAGCTGTGCTCACTGTGCATCTACGCCAAGATGGCTCAAAATCTATGATGAAAAACATTCAGAAGGACTAGGCGTTATTGGTAATTACAGCTGTCATGCTTCTGGCTCATTGAAGAGAAGAACTGTGACACTGAAGAACAGGCCCAGAAGCGAGTTCAAGAGCTTCCAGATTTTAATCCTAGTGTTACATCCAACCTCTTATCTCCCCTATGCCTGGGTTTTCCCATCTATAAAACGAGCTGAAGTACCTCACATCATTTATACCCAAACTCCTGGTAAAGCATTACTGTAAAGACAGGGCAGCTATCTGTCCACTAGCAGGTATTCTGTGTCTCCTGATGAGATTGGCAGGCTTGAGCCAGAAGAATATCAAGCCTAGACAGGGCTGGCTGGAAATACCCTTGATGGCATTTGTTCCTTTGATAGTGTCTACAATGTCAGAACTTGCCAAAAGAGATCTCTTTAATAGACTTTTTTGGCAATTGAACAACAACAAAGTCTGCTCTGTAATTTCACCTTCTCAGCAACGAGGACTGGGGAAATATTTTTTTTGTGCTCTCTAAGGATTAAGTGTCTATTGACAGCTCTGATTTCTCTGTGTCTGCTCATCCAATTTCTCCTTACCTATTAGCCTGGCAAGCTCACAGAGGCCCCAGGGCACATGGACAGGCAGCACGGCATTGTGAGTTTCCTGGAGGGCGATGTTGCAGAGGTGGTCAGAGAAGCGGCACAGACGCTCTGTCACACTGGCGTTGCAGAGATTGAGCAGCACATTCAGGCCCAGAGGCTTGAGAGAATTCAGGTGCATATGCCAGTTGGAGTCATCAAACTGGATGCAGGAGGGGTTCTGCTGGTCTTGGGACAGGCTAAGCATCTCAAGGTGGTAGTCACACACAAAGTCTTCGGCCTCACAAGCCAACACCTCACTGTCACCAACAGCCTGGTCCAATAGACAGGAAAATTCTAGTTGGTTACAAAGAATACAGCTTGAGCCTAGAAGCCCGCAGGGAATTCCCAATTAAATTCCCAAATGGGGAGACTCTACAGGGTTAGGTCTGTCTTACAGCTCCACAAAAGACTACTTGTGTGCCCCCTGAGTATGTCTTACCTGAGTATGTTCCTCCTCTCCACCCTCCGTGTCCTTGCTAAAACTCACATTGGACCCAGAGGGATGCTTGCTTCTGCTATTTGGTTTTCGGTGGGCATGGGCATCGGGAGCCTTTGGAGGGTCACTAGACCAGTTGTTCCTCTCTTGCTCATTGGTCATGTGGATAGTGTCTGCGAGGGGCCCAGAGAGCAAAGCATCTCTTTCGTGGGGCTGCAAGAGACCAAGAAAATGGACAGTGGTGATTCAGTGGTTGAACACAAACCACTACTGATTCACCTGCTGCTTTAGGTCTCCTGTAGAAGAGGATCTTGTGCTCGCTGCTTCTTTGTCTTTTAAGCAAAGAATTATGGCACAGGACTTCTACAAGCAAAGGGCCCCCTCTATAACACCACATTGTGCATGTCAGTCAAACCATGATCAGAACCAATATACTACATTGTGGATTACATGACACACACCTCATCTTCCATCTCAGGATGGCAGAAGGACCGTGTAGAGAGCTCATCAGTCAGATCTTCATGGCTATCATGAGGTGGTTCCACCTTCCCACTGAAGAACAGAACAGTCTCTGGGCTGGGGTTTGGCCAGGAAAGAATCCCCTGCTTGTCTACACAGCAGAGCACCTAGAACATCCCACAACATCCCAAAGAAAGCAAAATCTCATTGAAAACATCTCTCGGTGTTCATGCATAGTTGTAAATATTGCAAGTTTAACAAACACATAGGAGGATAGACAAGTCTCTCCTTTGCCGACCTTCTATCTTAAGAAACTACACCTAATAACCCTCCAAGAAATCCAAGAATTCCTTGCACTAGCAGGATTGATGGGTTGTTTAACACCAATTTTATCTCAGGATATTGCAAAACTAGGCATGAAGACCACTGGAAGGAAGCAACTACTCCACATATTTGACCAGCTAGTACCTTATCAGGACCCGAACCAGCTGGTTCTTGAACAGAAGTCAAGAGGGAACCAGAACCAGAGCTGGAAAATACAGACATCCTGTTAGATGCCACAGAGTATCTCTAACCATTGTTTTAGCCTGTAAACGTGCTGCTTGGACAAGACAAGACTCTTCTACCAAGACAGGTGCCTGGTGGGTTTCTAATTCCAGCACAGTGAACTGATTGCTAACTCTATGCTCAGGGAAGGACAACATGAACGATGCAAATGAAGCATCCACATAGGGCTCCTCCTGACAATCCAGCAATACTCACAGTGACGGATCCCAGGCTATGGAGCAAGCTGGAAGTGAAGCTCAGAGTTGGGGATTTGCCTTTTAAAACACAGAGGAAGTGGCTCCAGATACAGCGTATCATTTCCTGCCGAGGGAAGCGGAGGACATCAGCCAATTAAAGACTCATTCAGTGAAAGATGAGGGGAGAGAAGGAAAAAAGGGAGTATGATGTTACCTGCTTTCACGTTCAACAGTGATACACTGTAAGATAAAACATCGGTCTCCATGGGAACCTGTTAACTGATACAGTGCTGATGTTCTCAAAGGAAAGGCATTTCTTCCCCCTTCCAGAGGATGCTAACAGTCTGATTGTTGAAATGAGAATTCACTGAAACTACCTTTTTCTATCTAAAAACACAGGAAGAAGTTCTGAAGTTATTTCATTTGGGGTGAATCAGTTGTTACCTCTTAGTATTTTTCCTGAAGTAACTCTCATCCCCTTGGATTATAGAGTTTGAGGCCTTAAGCTTACGATCACCATGCTGCAAACCAGGTAAATGGAGTCACTGTGGTGAGGTGACTTACTGAGGCAGTGACAATGTTGGAAATAAAGCCAACATGCCCTGACTACTCCATCATTACAAATGAATTGTAATTAACCTGGTAATAAACTGAGAGAAAGGGATATTTTGCAAAATTAAAATGCCAGGTTGGCACCCTTCACCTTCCACATGAAAATGTTTCAGAGGGAGTCTGGATGGCAGTGATCAATCCAAGCGCCAGAGCTGTATGTTTTTTCTCTGCGCACTCTTAAAGCCAGCAAAACCAGGTTTGCATTACAGTGTTATTTTACTGCTTTCTAGCTGTTGTTCTGGAATGCCGTCACTGCAGAGCACTTCCCCCGAAGCTCCTTAGATCCTAAGGGTTAGTACAGCCATAAGCTCGAATGCAAAACAATCATGAGCTATCACCAGGAAGAAAAAAAGCTCTTATTTAAACCAGTTTCTCATAAGCAAAAATGTGATGTAGGTACAAAAGGCGAGAAGCGGATCTTTTCAACAAGGAAGGTCAGCTCAAATCACTCCTATTTAACACCTGAAAAACATCTCAGCTAAATGATGAACTGGCACAGAAAGACACCAAATTATTCAGCAAAGGAAGTGTGTGTGTGTGCGCATCTGTGTGCATTCTTCTCTGTGACTGGGAGCAAGGAGAGAGGAATTGATTCCTATAATATCTAGGCATTTTTAATTACTTCTGGAGTCCATCTGCCTCCTTATGGAAAGGGGAATCTTAATGCCAGATTAGACAGAAAAGTGTCTTTCCTCTACCCACCTGTTTAATCTGGATGATGCAATTTATAGAGTAGCCAGATGCAGTTCCTCCCCCAGAAAAAGGTCTTCTGAATGTGTATTTGCCCCAGCTTTGGAAGTACTAGTAATGTGCTTAAGCTTGTTAAGGAGACTATGAAACAGGATCAGACTTTTGAAAAGCCTGAATATCCCATGGTCCCCTCTTCACATTTGGTCTCGGTGCTGACCACCATCCCCTCTGTTCTTTAGTTTTGGCTTGAAGAAGGAGTTTTTTCTGGTACAAGCAAAATACGTCCCTTCTTTCTGACACACACCATAAAAGGTTTATTTACAGGAGGACTTGAAAGAGGTACTTTCTTCAGGACAGAAAAAGTTGATTTCAAACCATTTGCAATATTCAGAAAAGCACAACTGGACTAAGTATCAAAGTCACCTCAATCTCTGGTGAGCAGAGCAGCATTTACATGGAAAGGTGTAGGGGAAAGACATGCAACCTGCATGCATAGCAAATTAAAGCAACAAATGAGTGACAATGGACAACTGATACAAGTACAAAGGGTCTAGGAACAAGCAGGAGGTCAGAGAGGAGGGGAAAGGATATCATGAAGTTCTGCAGTGAAGATGGAAGAAAACAATTCATAATAATAGTACCTGAGAAGATACCATCTCTGTGTAGCTGCTGAGAGTGTCCTCTGAAAACTTAGCAAGCTGCAGCAAGAGAAGAGACCAGTTACTATAATCGTGCTCAGAAATGTGTCATGAGGAACATCCTTCCCTAAATACTGTGCCTTCAGAGAGAAGAAAACAGGAGACCTGCCCTGTGGGAATCGCTATACCAAGGCAGACCAATAATTCATCAAAGCAATTAAGTCTTTAATGGACTATGTCTTTACCTACTTGTGAAGCACAGTCAAAGTGCTTGGTGCTGTTCATCACAGAAGAACACACAGTCATTACCAAGATGTCTACAGAGAAAATAGCAATTAGACTCAGTGGAGGCTCTTTCCGGATGGTTATTTTTAGACAGAAAGAGCCAGGATTGACTGATCTGGTTTTAAACTATATGGGTCAGTTAAAAGAAGGGAGCTAGAAAAGTGGTTGTAAAAGCAGGTGCCTGGAACACCATGGACACAGAGGAATGAGGTGATATGAATGGGCTGTGGACAGGAAATGAAAAGAAATTATAGCAGGGCACTACCATGGGGCGCTTGGAATTACTTTCCGCGAAATTTACTAACTCAAGATCTGTGCATCCAGCACAAAGGAATTCCACAGTAGATGTAACTTTGAGAAACAGTTAAATTTAAGTATATTCGTAAGCATAAGTGAACATGGCAATTACATTTGTATGTAAATAAAATGACACCCCAGATAATAATGCATATATCTGGCACTTTAAAAAGGATCGGTTTAACAAATCTGAAAAAAGCCAAGACAAATTTGTCAGAAATAATTTAAACTGAGAACTATGAAGGACAATTAGGAACTGTTTAACAATATTAGAATTTTAAAAAGTAACGATCCCATAGTAAAAATGAAAAAGTCCCGTTTTGAGTGGAAATGAAAATAGAAGTAAAAATTAACATAAAAATAAGAAAAGGTATACCAGTAGGTCATTAAAACCAGTCCACTGCTTGTTGAAGACAGTGAAATTACAAATGATATGGCAAGCAAGGCAGACATGTAAAATAAATATCGCTACTCCTAATTTAGTGATATAATCATACCATATGATAACTATGAAATATTTTCCATTGTAATGCTAGCTACTGAAAGTAAATATGTTTAAATTAGCAGGTCTGGACAACTTTCAGACTGTTACTGCTGATTTTGCACAAGGCTCGAAGCATGGATTAAGTCCCAGTGCAGTGGAAGAAAGCCAATGTGGTGCCAATGCCTAAAAAGGGTAAGGAGAACAAACCAAGTTACCACAGGACCCCAGACAGACTTTGATTTCAGACAGAATAACAGAGCAGCTAATACGAGACTCAATTAAAAGAAAAGAAGTGGAATAATACAACCAGTGCCAAACACCACAAGTATATGAGTAATAAATCTTATCAAACTATTCGGATATCTTTTTTGACAAAATTATAAGTTTGACTGATAAAAGTAATTCTTTTGATGAGACCGTTTGGTACTCTGACGTGATACAAAGTGCTTTACTGGTTTTCTAACAAAAACTACAGTAATACTGGAGAAATAGGGCCCATATTAAATATATTAGAAATAGACTATCTCCAAATGGAACAGAAACTGACAAATTATTTGCAACAGGAAGTGTTACTAGCTCAAGCAGGGCCAAATTCTCGGTATTTTAATAGCCTGAAAGAAAACTAAAAAAACATTACCGATAGAAACTGTAAACTATAAAAAGTTTGGGGCAGGGTCCAGTAATAAAGAGAACAGACCACTGTTACAGATCAATATGAATTGCTTGGTAAATAAGCAAAAACATGCATACCAACATGCACAAAAATAAGGTTGCATACCTAGGAACAAAAATGAAAGTTGGACTTATAGGATGAGGACTCTATCTTAGAAAGCAGTGACTATGTAGATTATCAGCTGAACAAAGCCTGGCCATTTAAAGCAGTAGCTAAAAGATCTAGTACGATCCTTTGTTGCACTAACAAGGGAACATACAGTAGAAAGTCCAAGTTACTCTGAAATTTCGCACAAGCACAACTGTTACTGGAATATTTTGTGGGGTTTGGAGATTCACAGTTCTACAGTCTTCCTGAAGCACTGGAGAAAGCGAAGAGGAAAGCCAAGAGAAAGATTAGAGGACTGGAAAATATGCTTATAGTGACTCGAGGTGCTTAAAACTGTTTACTTAACCAAAGAGATGGTAAAAGGGAATGTGAGTAGCTACAACAGACCAGAAATTTGATTGACATGCTCTTAAATCTAAGAGACAAAAGATGTAAATGTTCCAAGGGCTGGAAATCAGATACTACAAAAATTCCCACTAACATAGAATGCCCGTTTTTAGCAGTGAAGGTAAACAATTACTGAAACAACCTATCAAAGGCACTACAAATGTTTTCAAAGCAACATCAAATTCCTTTCTAAAAGGAATGCTGCTGTAGTCCAACTGTTAGTAGTGCAACTTGAGGCAGGGGCTTGTTGGGGGGAGGGGGGGGCACTAATTTGTGTCCTGCAGGATGTCTGACTAACCAGTCACGAGGGTCACCCATGGCCTTGAAAAACTGGGAATCAAACAACTTGAACACGATGGGAGGGGGCAGAAGGTGGAGAATAGCGTCACACAGGCCAAGTGACTGGGGAGGAAGAGGGTCTTACCTGCTACATTTTGAACAGAGTAGAGAGAGGGAAGGAGTGAAATAGAGAGGCCAAGAGAAGACTGCCCTAGTCAAGGGGGAGAATGACCAAGGCACATCACAACGGTTGTTCTGCAGCAGTAAGGATGGAGGATCATGTTTGAGATGTCACAGAAAGAGCTGGCTGGACAGAGTGAGTTGCCTGGACAAGAAAAAAGAGAAGACAGGAAAGAACACAAGGAAGGTGCAAGTATGAGTGACAGGGCAAAAAGGTATGTTGAGAATGATGAAGCAGGGAAGCCAAGGAGCTCTGGCTTTTCCCAGCAAATAGCAAGGTG